AAGAGAGGAAATCAAAAAGATGGCTAAAGTTCAATATGCATATAGATATACAGGAAGTTGACAGGAGAATTTCAGAAATGCACGTGGAAAAGGCTAATATGTAATAACTATGCTATTCCCAGGTGGAAATTCATCTTATTCTGGCATTACATGACAGGCTACAGACGCGAGATAGAGTGGCTAAATGGAGTCTAGTGGAAGATAGTTCATGCACTATGTGTGAGGAAGATCCTGAAACTATTGAACACTATTTTTTTGGATGTACGATGACTGAGCAGATATGGAGCAACATACTAAAATGGCAAGGGATTAAAAGAAGAGCAAAAGGGTGGGCTGAAGAAGTGAGGTGGGCTGAAATGAATGTAAAGGGGAAATCAGCAAAGTCTCACATGTATCGGATTTGTTTAGCAGCATGTGTCTATCATATTTGGCATAAGAGGAATATGAGAGTTTTTCAGCAGAAAATCAGAAGCAAGGAAGAAGTTCTGCGAGCAATAGCACAAGAGATACATTACTGTGGCAGCAAGTACAGAAAGTTAGATAAAACATTACAGGAAATGAAGTCATACCCGCGATTTGAGTGATAGTTTATTGTTGATACTACCTTGAAGATATGTTTTTTTTTGTTCTTTTTGTGTAAGTAGATAGAAGAAGAGTACAGGGCTTGGGGCATGATGTCCAAGTGCCTGAAGATACAGATTTGTAAAGTTTTGATACTTGGTTTGTGAAATAAAAAAATTTTACTTACCAAAAAAAAAAGGGGCCATACTAAAAAAACTTTTGATTTGCTTATAAGGGTAATGGAACAAGGGAACATTAAGCCCGATGAGTACATCTATAGCATTGCTATACATGCCTTATGCAACGATAGAATGGTAGATGCTGCAATTAATCTTTTGAATGAGATGAAACAAAAAGGCATCACTGTGGACATTGTCACGTATAATTCATTGATTGATGGGCGTTGTAAGTTTGGACAGTGGGAAAAGGTTAGGACTTTGCTCTCTGAAATAGTAAATTCGAATATTTATCCAAATGTGCGCACCTTGACCATAGTGACAGATGGACTATGCAAAGAGGGAAAAGTCGAAGATGCTGAGGAGGTAATGAGACACATGATTGAAAAAGGTGTAGAGCCAAATACAGTCACCTACAATGTTATAATCGACGGATATTGCTTGCGCGGACAAATGGATAGAGCAAGGAGAATTTTTGATTCGATGATAGATAAGAGCATTAAGCCTGACATTGTTAGCTATAGCACATTAATAAATGGATATTGTAAGAACAATAAATTGGATGAGGCCATGGATTTGTTACATGAAGTTTCTTGAAATGGATTGAGATCCGACATTTTCACCTAAAGTATCATTTTGAAAGGTCTATTTGATGTTGGAAGAACTGACTTTGCGCAATTTTTTTTTGTTGAGATGCAATCTACAGGGCTCAAACCTAATTTTTGCACTAATCTCATTTTGCTCCGTGGTTATTTTCAGAATGGACTTGTCGAGAAAGCTATGTAGCTATTTCATAAGTTGGAAATACAGAGAGAAGATACTGATATTGAATTTTACAATGTTGTAATTAACGGATTGTGTAAAAATGGTCAGCTCGACAAAGCTCGTGCTATTTTTGAGAAGCTTTCCTTAATTGGATTGTTTCCCGATGTGATAACATACAATACAATTATAAATGGATTTTGTCTAGAAGGATTGTTAGATGAAGCTAAAAATATGCTAAGAAAAATGGAGGAGAATGGTTGTTCGCCAAACAATGGCACCTACAATGTTATTGTGCGAGGATTTCTGAAGTTCAGCAAAATAAGTGAAATGACAACTTTTTTGAAGGAAATGACCGAAAGGGACTTCTCATTTGATGCAAGTACTGTAGAGTTACTAATAGATGTTATAGCGAAGGATCCTTCTTTGCTTAACATGATACCACAGTTTCCCTTGGGAAATAAGAAGTGATATTTATTTCACTTGATTTATTCAGCTTTTCCTATCACTATGACACAATTTCCTTTTACTCTGCAAAAGAACTCACATCAACAGAATTGCGGAAGCTGAAAGAATATGGTAATTAGAACATTGCTCGAGTCCTAAACTTTTTCCTTCTGTTCCAAACCTTGCTGCAAGCAGTTGATTCACTAGATGTTTCACGTGTACAATTTTATAGTAAATTACATGTTTATCTGTTTATTATTAGGTGGTTCACTTAAAACTATAGCATGTAGTGGACTACCCAAAGTTGAGGAAGCATGCCAAAATCTGCAGGATCATCTAAATACTTCTGACCTCAAGTGTGGTGAAAAGCTTAAGATGGTTTTTCTCTTACACTTGATATATAGTACATTTAACTTTTTTTTTTGAGATTTTGGTTTCATTACGATTGAGATTGCTTTTTATTCATTTAAATACTTCTGACTAATGTGATTGGCCTGTCATTACTGGTTCCGATGCAATTAAATGTTCATGCCTTTGGCAGATGAAGAGGAGATTGATCATGTAACGACCCGGCCGGACGTTTTTGAAATTTACGCCCCGATCTCCTATTAACTGTTTCCCCTAAGTTCATTTCCGCTATTTTGGTTTGCCGGGATGTTCGGTGTTGAGTTTTGGAACTTAGTCCCTAAATGAGAGCTTAAGTGTTGGAAAATGGTCCGTAGTTGGAACTGTGTGAAGACGGCCTCGGAATGAAAATCCGATGGTTCCGTTAGGTGATTTCGAGGTTGGGAGCGTGTTCGGAATGAATTTTAGAAGTTCGTAGCTAATTTGGGCTTGAATTGGCGAAGTTAGTATTTTGGCGATTTTCGGTTGATAGGTGAGATTTTGATCCGAGGGTCGGAACAGAATTTCGAGAGTTGCTGTAGCTTCGTTAGGTGATTTGGGATATGTGTGCAAAATTTCAGGTCATTCGGATGTGTTTTGTTTGGGTTTTTGATCGAATGCGTGTTTTGGAAGTTTTAGAGGGACTTAGGCTTGAATTCGATGTAATTTGATGGTTTTGGAGTTGTTTGAGGTGTTTTGAGGATGGTAACAAGTTTGAATAATATTTTAAGATGCATTGGTGCTTTTGGTTGAGGTCCCGGGGGCCTCGGGTGTGTTTCGGGTTGTATTGCGCTCTTATTTGATGTTTCAACGCCGTATCTTTGGACCTAATGGGGTACCATATTAAGTAAATGAGCTCCAAATTAAGTTTTTATTAAACCATTAGATCCATATCGTAATTTCGGAGCCATAGCAAAAAGAATCGTCGAATTTGGACATCGTATGAGGGAGTTATGCTCATTTCCGTGTCGAGAAAGTGCTGGTTGCTGTCATAACCGCAAAAAAATTGCTGCAAAAGCGGGACCGCAAAAGCGGAAATTTTTCCGCGGAAGCGGAAAATTTTCCACAGAAGCGAAAAAAAGGGCCTGGGCAGAGAACTTAAGTTCTGAAAATGGGACTTCGTTCCCATTTTCCATTTTTGACTTCTAGAGGTCGGTTTTGGGAGAAATTTCGAGGGATTTTCGCGAGCAACGATTGGGTAACGATTCTCTACTCTCTTATGCTTAATACCTGCTAATCTAATCATGATTTCCTTCGTATTTTCGGATTTTTGAATGAAAAATGGGTCAAAATCCTTAGACTAAATTGTTGAGTTTTGAGTGGGTATTTGACATCCAATTTAAGAGATTTTTATATGGGTAGACTCGTGAGAGTGCGAGGGTTCTGAAAATGTAAAATTTATCCGATTCCGAGATGTGGGCCCGAGGGGCATTTTGGCCATTTTACACAATTTCGCGTATTAGCTTAGAATTTAATTGTAGAATAAATTACTTGAATTATTACTTACAATATGCACTTTAATTGAATAGATTTGAGCCATTTAGAGTCAGATACTCGTGGCAAGAGCGTGGTTTCAGGTTGACTTGCACTTGTTCGAGGTAAGTGGCTTGTCTAACCTTGTGTGGGGGACTTTGTCCCTTAGGATGTGATATTTGGTAATTGATGCCTTGTACGTGAGGTGACGAGCGCGTACTTGAGCTAATTGTTGAAAACCCGAATTTTTACTTAAAATACTTGAACTGAGTTTCTTTCGTAATTGCTTTATTCTACTTGCTATTATAGCCTGTGCTAGTATAGAAAAGCATGTTTAGTTGATCCAAATTGCCTATTTGCTTAATTTGCCTTAATTGTAATTACATGGAGCATGTTAGGCCAGAATTATATATTGCATTGTATTGTTGTACTTTAATTTCTGAATATTCTCTGATTTTGGTTGCGCATTTACATTGGGGCTACGGTTGCGGGATTTCGGTAGCTCCGCCCTTTGTTTGTTTACTTTGGGACTACGGGTTAGATTCTCGGGAGATCCCCCTGCATATTTACTTTGGAACTACGGGTTATATTCCCGGGAGATCCCCCTGCACATTTACTTTGGGACTACGGGTTAGATTCCCGGGAGATCCCCTAGCATATTGATAGTTGGACTACGGGATGGTATCCCGGGAGATCCTCCAGATATATTCATACGGTGGACTACGGGAAGGTATCCCGGGAGCTCCTCGGACAGATTGATAAAATGGACTACGGGACGGTATCCCGGAAGATCCTTCAGATATATTCATACAGTGGACTGCGGGACGATATCCTGGGAGATCCTCATTATTGGTGTCGGTATTGAGTTGTTTACTCTGTGTTATCTTATTTTCTGCGTATAAATTGTTGTTTTGTGTAATCCGATTTACTCAATAGTTGTATCTCATTATTTCTTTTTATTTCATACTGTTGTCAACCTTATTATTTTATTTTATCTCAGTAGGGCCCTGACCTTCCTCGTCACTACCCAACCAAGGTTAGGCTTGGCACTTACTGAGTACCACTGTGGTGTACGCATGCCCCTTCTGCGCATGTTTTTCATGTGCAGCTCTAGGTACCTCCACCCAGGCGTACTATCCTCGCGGAGGAGAGATCTAGCAGAGACTTTGAGGTATATCTTCCACGTCCGCAGACCAGAAGTCCCTATCTTATTCCAGCTTTACTATATGACCTTCCTTTCTTTCGGTTGTGTGGACATTCTGGAGTTAGAGCAGTGTATTTCTTTTCTATTAGCCCGTGTTTCCCGTGAGTTTCCGGGTTTTGGAATTGAGTTGTAGACTTCCGCATTTCTTTGAGTTGTATAGGCCGAGCGGCCTTATATACAACTATTATTTTACATATGTTCAGTTTTGATTAATTATTTCCGCGAGTTATATTGAATTTTTGCATTGTTAGGCTTACCTAGTTGTAGGAACTAGGTGCCCTCACGACATGTTCATAGAGGGTGAACTGGGGTCGTGACAAGTTGGTATCAGAGCTCTAGGTTCATAGGAGTCACGGAACACAGGCCGATTTATTAGAGTCTCGCTAATCGGTACGGAGACGTCTGTGCTTATCTACGAGAGGCTATATAACTGTTAGGAAAATTTCAACTTCATTTAATTCCTTACCGTGTGTCATTTATTCAGTTTGGAACCTATATTATATGTTCTTTTTGCATCCACTCGTGTATTGAAATTGCACACTCGGTATCAATTACGCACCGACGGTTCTTGATGCTACAGAAGGATTATAAGGGAGCCAAAAAATTGCTCAACCATTGTTACCGCGTGTCAT